GGAATAGTAGTTGGTTTTATAGGTTTGGGGTGGGCAGTGGAAAGTTACAGAGTAAGATCAGTTACAGTGGTGGGGGTTGGGGCAACGAGTATATATTAGCATAAGTTCGGTGGGATAAGAGTATTGTCATAATAACAAGTTAAGATGGCAGGGTGGTGGGAGGGGCTTGTCTGGGGAAGCTCCACTAGGTGATTAGGGACAATGGCCCATACAGGTGGGGGTGGGGGTGGGAGACGATTAGCAGAGGCAAGCAGGACTTCAGACTTTCAGGCTCCAGGCTTGCATATGGAGACCTGACACCAACGAAGTAGGCTCTTGACTCTTGAGTGTTTTTATTAACTCTCCCACTCCTTGCCTTTAAAAAGCCTGCTTCCTGCTTCTCTGCTTCAGCCTAGAGAATCTGAAAACATACCTGTATTGCCAGAATTCCTGTATATTTAGAGACAAATTATCCTAGAATGTTCTGTCTCTTCCCTGGGGAGAAAATCTCAAATGCTTTAATAGAGCATTTGAAGTTAGACTTAAGGGCTGAATTATCTAGGGCATGATACCTGGTTGGCACAGTCATGGGGTGTTGGAGAGGGAAGAACAGAAACCACAGCCATCAGTGTGGCCTTTATCTCTGAATCAGGGGCTCTGTCTACCATAGGTCCTACCTGAAAGCTCCAACAGCTGAGGGATCTACACCCCAGTACTCATAACCCATTTTTGGCATATCCTTTGAGAAATGTCAATAAGGGATCAAGTCCAAGGCAGAGATTAGGAGGCTGGGAAACCAAAGAAGGTCTAGAAACTATATTCAGAGCAAGGTCAGACTCTGGCCCTGGGTCAAAAGCTGTTGTTGATTTGGTCAGAAAGTGAGCAGAAGCCTGTTGTGATCGTTGCCTCACTTAGGGGGCATTGACAGGAGCCAGAGTATTGCTTTGATAATACATTAGTTGATATTCTCCATACACATTCCTATTTTAAGACTGTTCTAGGAGGTAGGATATACCAATTCAAGGCTGTACCAGTAGGTAAATTGAACATTGAACATGAATTCTAGGATGTATGGTATTTTACCAGGTAGTTGATGAGGAGCAAGAGTTGAATATTAAGATGGGTGGAGGTTGATATATTCTTTAATTCATTTATTTACTAAATATTTATGGAGTACTTACTAGGTGTCAGGCACTAAGGGAAACAGATGAAAGACATTATCTACCCCAACGTAGATAAGAAAGGTAAACATTTGCACTAGAAAGTGGGAGGTACCATGGAGAGGTTTGGTACAGATCACTCTGGCAGCCCAGAGGAGGGCATATGAGCTAGCCTTGGGAGAGAAGAGGAAATGAGGGTGGACTTCCTGGAAGAAGCAGTGTGCTAGCTGGGTCTTAACGAGTAAATAGAAGATTGAAAGGAAGGGCATCTCAGACTGAAGAAGAGTATTTGCAAAGGCACAGAGGCAAGATTCAGTGCAGTGTTTTGGGGAATGCAAGTAATTTACTTCATAGGCTGTTTGTAAGAAGAGGTGTGAGTTAAAGCTGCAGGGGAAAAGTAAGCGTCAGATGAAGAAGGGCATGACATACTATGCCAAGACATTTTACCCCAAAGGCAGTGGGAAGCCACTGAACAGTTTTAAGAAGACAGTTGTGACTGGATCTGAATTTTAGAAGCTCTTTCTACTAGTAATGGGGAAGACAGCTGAGCAGAGACAGAGCTGGAAGCCCAGCTCTAACACTGACTCTGTTGCCTTCCCACCTGTCTTTACTGTTCTATTCTCTCTATAAATTCTATCTTCTAGCTCTTCACTGACTTATCCAACCTGACTTCCTGCCACTCTCCAATTGTAGTTAGGTTGACTCAACTTATTCAAACAGGTCTACTCATTTTTGTCTTGTCTATTAAGCAAACTCAGTAAATGCCTATTACATACCATCCACAGTGCTTGGCCTGGGGGACCAAGGATGAATGAGACACAGAACCTGCCTTTAAGGAGCTCACAGACCAGTATGGAGATACCATGGAGACACATTGTTACTATAAAAGTATGGTTATGGCTGTGCAGTGGAATAAATACAGAGTACCCTGGGTGCAAAAAGAAGACAGGCTTGGCTGTAGAAAGCCCTTCTCCCATTCTGCTAAATCCTCCTCATCCTCAGGCTCCTGCTTGTATTTTGTATAGGGGCAGGGTAGTTTAATGGGTTGTTGCTTGGCCTCTGAAGCCCGCCAACAGGGTTTTAATCCTGGTTCTGTCACTTACCAACCATGTGACTTTGGCCAGAAGTTCTTTGTTCCTCAGTTTCTTCATCTGTAAAATGGGTATGATGTCTGCATCAACTTCATAGGGTTATTGTGAGGATTAAAGGAGATAATATGCATAATATCCTTTAGAACAATCCTTTCATGTGTAAAATATTTAATAATTATTCGCTACTATTACTCTCAGCTTTTACCCCTTTTTTTCAGCATCTATATCATATTGAGAAATTTTAACCCCTAATTATCTGTTAGTTTGTTGCTTGCCCCAGCTTATGTATTGTCATGTTATTTCTCTCAAGAATGATTTTATTTTTCTTTGAGACAAAATACATCTGTATTTTGTACCCCAAAATACATCTGTACTTTTGGGGTACTTAACAATATTGGATATGTATTATGGTGATTGGCCATCCCGATTTTCCCAGGACTGAGATTCCTGGGACACAGGAATTTCTGTGCTAAAACCAGGAAAGTCCTGGGCAAACGGGGACAAATTGATCAGCTTACATGTAGTAGACACTTCAGTTTGGCTTTTTACTTATTTCTTATTGGACCCAAACCTAATTTGCAAGCAAGCTCACTTTGGCTTTGCCACAAATTTTTATTTATTGTCTACAGAATATAAATTTACAATCTCTGGGGTTTTTGGTGGGGGAATCCTGAGATTCTCTAGAATTTAAGGTGGACAATTTGAGGGATTCCTAAAATATCTTTCTCCCATCAACTGTGGGTGTATATGCTAGAAATTGTAGGCAGTCCTGTAAGAGCTTTCTTTAACCTGACCCACAGCCCTAGGGGTCTCCCCTCGCCTGTCATTTCCCGTGTCTCCCTGCATTTCTGTCATGAGTGAATGACTTCCTTCATCTGCTTTCCAGAATTGACATATCTTGCTTTAACCCAGTGGCAAAACTCATTTCCTCATATGAAGCTGCTGTTTTTACATGAATTTCCAAGTTGGGGTGAAATGATTTTTGTTTTTCAATCCTGTCTTTCGAGCATTGGGACAATGCAGATGACTTTTTCAACTCAGTCTCACCAGCACTGGAACGATGTTTGCCTTGGGAAGTTGCTTTTCAAGCAGCATTCCTTATAGATCCCCTGGGGCCTCTCTCCAAATTCCTAGAAGCCAAGACAAGTGTTTGCCTGCCCATCTTCCCCAGGTCCTATGCCAGTACAATCAAGAGGCTGGCTCTACAGCCTCTGAAAGTTTCAAACCTAGAGTCTCAGTTTCCTAGGGCTGTTGTAACAAAGTACCATGAGACTCTGACTTAGATAACAGCAATTTGTTTTCTCACAGTTCTGGAAGCTAGACATTTGAGATCAAAGTGTCAGTAGAGTTAGTTCTTTCTTAGAAATATGAGGGAGAAAACTGCTCTGTGCCTTTTTCCAACTTCTGGTAGTTTTCTGGCAGTCTTTAACATTCTTGCCCTTGTAGATACATCTCCCGATCTCTTCATTCATCTTCATGTGGCATTCTCCTTGTGTGAATATCTGTCTCTTCACATGGCGTTTTGTTTTTTAAAATAAGGACACCAGTCATACTGGCTTAGGGATCTATCCTACTGTACTATGACTTGAACTTAATGTAACTAATTACATCTACGATTATCCTGTTTCCAAGGAAGGTCGCATTCGGAGATATTGGGAGGTAGGAGTTCAACATGTGAATATGAGTGGGGTACACAAGTCAGTCCATAACACCCAGGTCTTCAAGTGAGTGCAAAACATTCCTTACAGACAAGCAAACAAAGCACCAGACAGTCATTGCTCATGAATCCATTTCAATTCTCCACTCACTTTGTGTTTGATATTGACTGCTCTACTTGTTCGCCACTCTAGAGTTCTCTGCCAACTCTAGGGATACTACGTAATATAGTACACCTGAGTCACCAGATCTAAGTCAGGACATATTAGGAGACTTTCAAAATGAGAAGCCTGCTGAGGAAAAGCTGTATCTGGGGCATATAATGTAGTAACTATTCTAAAGGCAGTGGCTCCCATCCTGATGAATAATAATTACAAGTTAGTTGCCTTTTAAAATGCTTTGGAGAATACCATGATGTGTACAGATAGGAGGTTGGACGATTATGTGTGCGTATGTGTGCATGCAGTAGCTTATGATGAGCAAAATCACCAGATTCCTCCCCAACCTTCCTACAAACATTCCCTGGGCCCACTGGGAGTAGCCTGCATCTCCTCCCTCTGGCTTCCTTCTGTCAGCTCCCTAGAGTTGCTGATCCTTTCCCCTCCAAAGAAATTGCTCTGTTCCAAAAAGATAAACACCAGTAGTTACAGGGAACTTGAGGAAAAAAGCAAAGCGAGTCTCCCAGTTACTGTTTTTCTGGTGTTCTCACATAAAAATACAGACCGTCTTTGTGGGAGTGCTATTTCTGATCCTGGCAGTTACAGCCTGAGATGTGAGGGCAGTGATGGGTTTTCTTGAGAGTAGGGGATAAGGAGCATCTGGAGTATGGAGATTCTCCAAGTTATCGCCACTTCTTTCTAGGGACACTGCACCTCTGAGAAATCCCAGGGGTGGATGAGGCACCTAGCTGGTGCCCGCCTGTGCAGAGCAGTCAGGCAGGCTGCTAGCTTGCTGAGAGGCGGCGTGCCAGCTTCGCGTACCGCGCCTCAGTGCCAGATCAGGGAGCTGTCGGCTCAGCGCCCACGCCCTCCGCTTCAGCTCGGGGGAGCCCCTGGGGTGGGCTGCTGGAAGGCGCAACTGCAACTTGACTTTGTCTCACTGTTGTTGCTGGCAGAATACGTACACCAATGCGGACAAGCTCCTAGAAGCAGCGGAGCAGTTGGCTCAGACCGGGGAATGTGACCCCGAGGAGATCTACAAGGCAGCTCGACACCTGGAGGTGCGCATTCAAGACTTCGTGCGCAGGGTGGAGCAGCGGAAGCTTCTCCTGGACATGTCTGTCTCCTTCCACACACACACCAAAGAGGTAAGGGGAGCTAGTGGAGAGAGGGCATCGGTCCTGCCAGAGTCGGGTCGGCTTCCTAGTAAAATGACCCTGAAGCTCTGACCAGGGTCCTGGGTAGTCTTGGGGTTGCTAACCTCTTAACTTTGGTGATATTAACAATTTGTTCTTGATAACCTGCATTTAGGTCTCTATCAGAATGGGGCAAAATTTCCTCCCATAATATCTAGTGAGGAAAGGGGGTCATGGAGACAGGTGGTTTGGGGGCATCTGCTAGAGCGTGTAATCTGCTGCTGGAGAAATGTCGGAATCCCTGATATAGCAATGGTCACTGCAAGAAGAAATGTAAGAGACTCTCTTCCCACTTCACACCTCATTTCTCTCGGTTGCTGTTTTCCTTTCAGAAATGAGAGTCTCACAGAACTTTGATCAGGTATCTTTGCTACCAGCAAGGAACATGTAGAGTTGACAGATGCATTTTTTTATGTTTTTATTTATTTTTTTTTTAACAGGGGATTTCATCTTCTCTGTGGCGGGGTGATATTAAAGTTGGTCCTCACTGTGCCTGAATGTGGAGTAACAGGCATTGAAAGGGGACTGAGATGCCCTCCACCAAGGAAGCTGGCTGGGCTTGAAGCCCAACCTGAATAATTTACCAAGTGGACAAAGAGGAAGGAAGGATAGCTTATGTTAAGCTGCTGCAAGGGCAGAGGAGCTTCATGGAGAGGAGGATGGTAGCAAACTTATGATTGCTTTTCATTTCTGATTAACATGGGACATGCTGAAATTGAGTAAGTGGCCAGCAAGGAGGCATATTTAGCATCGTCTATAATAACACCCTTGGCAGATGAACTCATTAGGTGTATGCATGATTGTATCCCCCTTCCCCCAAGGAATTTACTTTAATGGAGTATTAATTAAAGCTTGATTGCTGCTCAGGAAAAAAAAAATAGCCCTACTTAATTAAGTTGAATTTTAATATTGGGAATGCCTTAAGAATCTTAGCTGTTACTGCTTCACAGCCCTTTCTGACACCGAGGGAATGAATGTGAACCATTGCAATGCCTATCAGAGAAAAACATGAAAAGATAATGTTCTCTAAACTGAGATTCCCCTGGCAGATGAAGGGCTGGCAAGTTTCCTGAAGCTGGCTTTGCTTCCTCTCTGCGGGACCTGCAGCCACTCTCTGATGAGTGTCTATAAAGCAAGGGGATTAGCATTAATCCAGGGTTTCCTGCCTGGCTGTCTGCTTGCTTGTGGCTCACCCAATTCTTAATGAAAGTCTCAGAAACCAAAGTCATGTGTATTCCCTTTTAATTATGAGCCTGTGGGTGACAGAATGGAGTATGAATGAACAGGAGTCATCTTCCTCATGAGGGCTGTGGGGGTGCTGGCTGCATGGAGAGATGGTGGATCAGGTCAGTTTCCATGGAACTACTACTCCCAAAAGAGTGACCATGGCTTCCAGGAATTCCTCTAGCTACATCTCCCACTTTGTATACACAGAGGTAGAAGGCTGGGATTCTAGACTAGATTCTGCTGCTAAATAACCATGTGAGCTTGTACAAGTCGCTATGTCCCTGGCCTTGGGTTTCCTTATCTACAAAATTATGCAGTTGGACTTGGTGGCCCTAAGGCCCCTTATGGTTTTAATGTGCATACAAGATTCCATTCTTCTCTTCTTCTTTGTGTTGATAATAAATAATAACATTAATTAGGCTGAAGTAGTATAGGTGATTTACCTAGCCTAAGATTTGGCTTATTGTAAGCACTCAAAATATATTACATGAGTTTTTTAATTAGACACCTACTACTTGCCAGACACACATATCATCTCTTGTGACCTTCATGATAATCTTATAGTATAGATTTTATTAAACACATTTTTAAATGGGGAGACTAAGCCTCAAAAAACAACTGGTCTCAGGTGACCGCCTCTCTCAGTCGTACGGCGGAGGTTTTACTTGTCTTCCTATTACCTATGCTGTCCTTTTTGTCCCTTACCTTTTCCTCTTTTCTAGTCTTCCTTCTTTCATTTTCCTTTTTTACATTTATAAATCCCAAATCAGGGGCTTAATGAGGAGGACAGATCTTGGCTGAGAAATATACAGTGTTGCCAGGATTGGGGGTGTGGGAGACAGAAATAGTCAGGGATGAAGTTATTGACTATTGTTTTCCCAGATATCTCTCAGATCTTGCTAAGCTTGGTCCCGTTTGAACCTAAGGCTTGTTTCCTCACTGAAACTCAGCTAGAAAGTCACATTCATGTGAAATACTGCTAGAAGGAGTGGTGTGATACAAGGGGCAGGTGAAGAAAGAGACGGAACTGAAATTTATTTAGCACAAACTATGTGCTAGGCTATCTAGCTGGCTAGTTGGTAGCCATGATAATTGTCATTTTTAAAAATTCTAATTTTAGAAATGGGAAAACCAAGGTTCAGAAAAATTAATAATTTGCTCATGGTTTTATAGCTAGTTTGTAGTAAGTATAGAAATTGACCGCAGGTCTTTCTGACTCTAAAGGTCATGCTTTTCTCTCCTTTGCCACAAAGACTATTATATAAAGGCTAGTAAACAGAGACTTGAATGATTTTTTTTTTCATCAGAGAATTCATTCAAACAGGAGGCTGTCAGCAAACTGCATAGTCTCTTTCTCCTCAGTCCCGAAATATGAGGGAAATGTGGAGTAGCTCTACCTGGATACAAAGGGGTTTATGGTTGTGAGGCTCATTGTATTCAACACATCTACAACTCTTAGATCAGACAGATTTAACTTTTTTTCAGGATGGACAGAAAAGCAACATGTTGAGCGGCTGCCACAGAGGAGCTGTTCGCCGGGGACATGCAGTGGGACTTTGTATCTGCATGTTCCCTCTTGTTCACCTTCCCATCCAAAGTAGCCTGTATGAGGCCCCCTTTAAGTGATTTGCAAGGCAGAGTAGAAACTAAAGTGTGTGTATACATGCGCACACATGTATATGTGTACACATGTACATATGCACACATGTGTACATACACATGCAAATGTTCCTACACACTAAGTACACCAAGATCTTGGACACCAGGTAGGTCTGATTTCCAGATGCTTTGTCACTTCGGGAGAATTACTCTTAATCTCTGTTACTTTGTAATAATTAAGGGGATGACTATTAAAAAATAAAGTAGTACAATACTAACATTCATTTTTTTCCCCAAATTTTTCTTAGTGTTTGTTTAAAGTAAGCTTAATAAGAAACTTAAAGACTCAACTGAGGCATCATTTTTTTTTTTCTTCTTAAAATTCTTCCTGCTGGGCGCGGTGGCTCAAACCTGTAATCCCAGCACTTTGGGAGGCCGAGGCGGGTGGATCACGAGGTCAAGAGATCGAGACCATCCTGGTCAACATGGTGAAACCCCGTCTCTACTAAAAATACAAAAAATTAGCTGGGCATGGTGGCGCGTGCCTGTAATCCCAGCTACTCAGGAGGCTGAGGCAGGAGAATTGCTTGAACCCAGAAGGCGGAGGTTGCGGTGAGCCGAGATCGTGCCATTGCACTCCAGCCTGGGTAACAAGAGCGAAACTCCGTCTCAAAAAAAAAAAAAAAAAAAAAATTCTTCCCTGGTGCTTCCAACTTTCACCCAGACAAAAGCAGAGCACTGTACATACCTCCATCAGTGGTGCCATTGTCACATTGAGCTGTGATTCTCTCCTTCACTAAATTGGGAGTGCTAAATGTATACTACACAGGTGGCATTAGACGTGTAGACAGAGATACTACTGTGTCTGATACATAGAGATGCTGAATCAATATTTTGATGCTTCTTTTCCTATGAAAAGGAAAAGAAAAAGAAGAAGAAAAAAGAGGGAAGAGCGCTCTTTCTTTTTCAATCACATTTTAATCTTCTCCAGTTCTTTGACTTGAGCTCTCCATATATTGTAAATAAAGGGGGCTGGGTGGGAAATCTAACGTGCCCAGGGGAGCCTTCCTTTAGGGCCTATAAACAGCAGGCAGAAATGGATTATTAGGGAGGCAGAAATGAGCATCCGTGAATGGTCTCATGAAATAACTCCTGTGGTTTGGTTTTTCCGTACTCTCTTTAATACCTCTCAGGACTCGTCATCTCTCAAACATCACTAAGTGTGGGTCCTACTTGATCTCGAGTCAATTAACTCTTGACTCCTTCCTCTTGACTCTATAGCCAAACTTCTGGCTTTTTATTCAAGACAGGATTAGTAGTGTGTTAGGGAACTCTGAATTGCCATGGTTGTTTTTCCCTCTTTATTTTATTTTATTTTATTTATTTATCTTTAAGATGGGGTTTCACCATGTTGGTCAGGCTGGTCTTAAACTCCCAACCTCAGGTGATCCGCCCATTTTGGCCTCTGAAGTGCTTGGATTACAGACATGAGCCACCACGCCCAGCCTGTCTTTCCCTCTTACCATGGATAGAGTGGATAGAAGGAAAATCTACTCAGCTTCGCAAAAGTGGCCTTGGGTATTGCTGATAAATATTGTTATAGATCATTTCTGCCTCGTTATGGCTATCTTCCTCCTCCTTTCTTTCATTTTTCCATTTCTTCCTTCCTATAATAATTTGCTGAGTGTTTGTCTTGGTGCCAGTTGGTAACAGAATGTCATCATAGTCTATAATTTTCATGGAATGAAAGCCCCTTTTGTAGATTTCTAGGTGGGAACTGAATATCCACCTTCATAAATGATTTAACCCAGACTTCCTATGACTCCCCCGGCTAAAGTTCGTAATTTTACTTTTGCCAACTTTCCACATCAAAAGATTTACTCTAATTAAGATCAGTGAGGAAACAGGAGGAAGATATAAAAAGATAACCTCCAGGCTCATTTCTTCTGCAAATTCAAGTCTGCTTAATCTTACTGGCTTTGTGAATTCTTTATTTATTGTAGGAGCCTAGAGGGTTAAAAATGTCGATAACTATTTCATCACAGTGTTAGTCATTATCTTGAATAATTAGAGACCATCTAAATGTTTCACATTGGGTGATTTCATTAAAATCTTAGTGCTTTTAT